AGGTATGTAAAGATTTTATTTTGGATCTGAGTCGTGTTCATGGATTTTTATTGAATTGTTGTTTTTCCCTTAGTCGAGGACTCGCTAGTAGCTCGAGACACAGATCAATTTTTTTTTGTTTTGTTTTTATTATTCTTTATAAGCATATCTTCTTTTGTTTGGCTCATGCCTAATCCTCTAGACGATAAAAAGCATAATGTTATGTTGTAAATAATTGCTCGTTGGCCGAGTGGTCGAGAGTGGGTCTTGGGTTCAATTCCCGGGCCAGGCAAAGCATTACTGGGTTCTTAAAACAAATCTCAGTAGTAGCACGGAGTCTGGAATTGTCCCGGGATATGGCAATAGGGTCACCCCCTATTACATGGGACTCATAACATAGTGAAAAAAGTAGGTGTTAAATTGTACAGTGCCATAAGTTCCGCACCTCTGCCTACCCATTCGGGTATAAAAAGGCTCGATGTTATATGTATAATAATTGGTAATTTTAAAGCTAGATTAATCTAAAGCGAACACATAAACACATTTCAAATCGATGTTTAAAATTAATCGGAACTCGTTATTGCCAATCTTATTTGTCACACGCCACGTGTAACACAATTTAGGAAATTCGTACTGCGTTATATTGAATGGAAATGTTATAGTTGGCTTAATTTATATGCATAAATATTACATAACATAACATCATGCTTTTTATCCCCGAAGGGGTAGGCAGAGGTGTACATTATGCTACTGTACACCCACTTTTCACTATTTATGTTATGAGGCTCATGAAAAAGGGGGTGAGCCTATTGCCATATACTGGGCACAATTCCAGACCCCGTGCTACTACTGAGAATTATTACATGGGATTTACAACATAAACAGTGAAAAATGGATATTACATTGTACAGTGGCATAATGTGCACCTCTGCCTACCCCTTCGGGGATAAAAGGCGTGATGTTATGTTATGTAAATCCAAACTATATTCTATAACAATTTTATTCTGTAACAATTGGTCTAATCGCTTCGTAACTTCAACATTGTTTAATCTCCCCGTATCTAGATCAGAGCATATTGTTGCCGTGGCAGTTATACGTTTCTTATTTTTCATTCAAACACACGAGCGAGCAGTTACCATTAAAAGGTCCGACGTTTGCCCCCGAGAGCTCTTTCATCGCCGTGTATGTGACATGCAGCTACGAATTAATGAACGGGTATAATTTAAAACTAGATTTTATGACATAATATTCATTACCTACCACAAAGCATAATGCTATGTATGTATTGTATATTTTATTAAGATTTGGGTGTAATGCACGCGTGCATTTGCCAAACTTTAACGATGTAGATATAGATGTAGGTATAGATGTAGCTATAGATAGAGTCAACTATTTTAGCATTGCACAAAAGGATATATTTTTTATACTTGATAGGTCGAGGTTTGGCTACCATACCATTCGCCTGGTGGTAAGCGATGATGTGGCCGAAGATGGGGCACGCCTACCTATGAGCAACCTGTTCACCCGGGACTTGAAGACACCTAAATTATGTTATTATTATGTATGTCCTTACCATCCACGGGACCATAGGGTCCCGGTCATTTAGGAGGCGTACGAGGCGCCGAAGCCAACTGCGCAGAGGCCCTTTAGACAACTTTAATCTAAATGTAATGGACACACAAACCGGCGACTATCCCTGTATGCACTATTTATTATTATTATATTATATTATATTATGTTATTAGTCCCATTTTATAATTATTTTGAATTATTAACATATTACATTCCATTCCACAAATATGTATATTTTAGAAAATGGAGAAAGGGTTTGACTTGACCTTATAACTTCTAACCAATTGATAATCGGGGCAGTGAATATAATATTGTTATTGAAACATTTTTGCCGAAAACCTAAAATAACAGAAAATTTGTAATGAACCCATGTTATTTCTAGGGGAGAAATATATTATACATAGACATAGTTATTATTATCTTTTGCTCTCAGTCTCTTTTTATATTTTAGGTTGATTTAACCAAAGGGAAAAAACCACAAACAAAAGCGAAATCAAAATAGGAAAACGATGATTTTGCAATTACATTTTTACAATTTGAACATGACACGTTACGTATCTGCAGGTTTTACAAAAATTCAGTACCACTTTAGTTCCTTGTTAACAAATGAGGCCACATCCATCACTACTTACTTCTGTGAGTGAGTGTAAACAAGTCTCTCGGTGGCGTGTGAGTGCCGCGACACCTGAAGATATCCGGCTCACTTGTGTCGCTCATTCATTCGCTCACTACAGATAGCATACAGATAGTATTCATTCACTACAGATAGCATACAGATAGCATCGTTCTCAGCTAGATTGAATTGCTCTTTTGTACTTTTATTTGCTGGCTGGATGATGTAGTGCAATGTGAGTTTTTGTGATTTGACTTATGTTTTGGGTAGGTTAAAATGACATGGTTTCATTTAAATTTGTATGGGATTAAAAAATTGAGATATTTAAGGGTGCGTCTACATGTAGCGAATATCCGGCTCGCGAGCCATTTGCGATCTTTCCGCGAGCTGTGCGCGTATGAGTTAAGCACCAATCCATTTAAACTGTCAAACACCGAGCGGTCACCGGTGACCACAACCTATTGTTCTTTAATTGTGTCTATAAATACGGTACTCGACGAGTTAAATGCAAGCGCGCAGATCGCGGGCGGCTCGCGAGCGGCTCAACCAAAGCCATATATGTGAAAGGTAAACATTTAAAGTACTGAATAAAAATGAAGCTTAACAAGCTTTTCCATAAGACCTGAACTCTCAGTGTTGTTAGAGAATTTGAAACACAATAAGTAATTGCATTATTAGCATGTGCTCATTATTCATGAGTCTGTCTTGAATAATATTAAAATTCCACAACGAGAGCGTTACTAAGCCGAGAGTAATGTACGTATAAAGAATTTAATAGAAATATGTAGCGTATATAATTATGTGTGAAAGGTTATAAGTAAGATTTTTATTTTTAATTTGGGATCAACACTTTTTTTGGGACGGGAAAATGATCCAATGATTTCTCTTGCCTTGGGTAAGACGAGATGGAGTGTCAGACTCTTAGTGACTAAAAACCATTTGGGCTTCACCGTGGATTTAGTCTTGTGTCGTGAGTTTTTATTTACACTTCTGTATAGAACGTACAATGGCAACCTTCAGTATAACCTCCTAGGGGTCTAATCTGTATAGAATAGGTCTGTACTTTTCTTTCGTGGGTAGATTTTGCCTGGAAAAATGGACATACGTATGTACAGTTTTCCTGTGCCTAGGTTTTGTACAGACCTATATGGATCATGAAACACTTGGATAATACCTAATCCAACTTACACAGAATCAACTTTTAGCAACTGTAAACAAGTTCAAAATATGTTAAGGTTTTTAACAAACTCACATATTTATACTTACTTGAACTTTATAAAGTTATATCCGTACAACATACAATATTTATGCATGTAAAGAAAGATATACCTTAACTAGCTACTCTGTCGCGGTTTCACCCACTCTGCTTGTCCGACCAGTAGTTACGGAGATTAGCGGGTTTAAACAAACAGACAAACAAACAAACATATTTTTCAGCTTTGTATAATGTTTAATAAAGTATAAGATATAATGTACCTTAAATTCAAACAACATTAATTTAGGTTATACACCTGTCATCAACATCCATTGTTGGCTTTTAAATATCACCACTCACAAAAGCAAGGAACGAATCATCTAATTAGACATTACGTCTGTAACATTTCTGAAAATCCTTTGTATTGCAGAATTTTATGCGTTCTTTGTTCCTACGGCATTTTTAAAAGAGTTATTGCTGAAGGAATTTGAGCTTTATCATTTGGTGGGTAGAGTTGTTTTTGTTGATTGATGGTGTGGGATATTGAGGTGGTGACAATTGTGGAGCGCAGTCGGAGACCGTTCACTAACGAGCCCCCCGCCCCCTCATTTTCATTTTATCGTCGCGCCGCCCTCCACGGTACTATTTACAGTTCTTTTGCACCGTCATAAGGTAAGTATCTCGTTTTGTAATATCCTAATGAGAAATTTGAACGTCTTTATTTGTATTCCATTATGAAAGTGGCTTTAGTACAGTTGTTCATATAAATCTTTCTTTGTGCAACATACGAGTGCACGTCCATACGTTACCGGGAATTTTTTTGTTGAAATATAGATTTTTAAATAAAAATTCCTTTATTGTTTGTTTCTACATGTTTTGTTTGTATTTCCATTGGCTTTCAAAGCATATTTTTGTTGCGAAGGGGTTTCGTTTATATTTTTTCTTTCTTTGACTTGTAGGTTGTTTTGGTTGGTATTTCATTTGTTTATTATTCCCGAAGTTCTTAATAGAAGAAGATTAATTTTTGGCTACACTACAGTGAGAAGATTAATGTTCAGTGGTTACAATAACGGACTGGGTATGTAACCAGAGACCTTTAAAAATTTTGGTTCCATCACAATCACACCACAAGACTAAGTAATTCAACGAATTGACATGGCAATGCCCGTGCCATGTCATTACATGGCCTATTGCACACTCGTATATTCATATTACATGGGACTCACAACATAAAAAGTGAGTGTTACATTGGATAGTGGCATTAAGTGCCGTAATGTGCACCTCTACCTACCCCTTCGGAGATAAAAGGCGTGATGTTATGTTATGTCAACGAAATGATCGATTTTTAGTGGCATTTAGGTAAGTAGTTAATGGCATAACATCGATTATTTCGGCTTCTCATATTGAGGTCACTGAACAGAAACAGACCGCCGTCTTTTAATATTTACTTAAGTTAGTAATGGGAAACCTAATGAGGATTGTTTTGTATGTAAACAAGCAAACAAACAAAATGTTTCTTGTGCTTTAGTAGTACGTTGTTTGAAAGTTCTCTAATGTTACTACTAGGCCAGGTTTTGAGCAGCATATAGCTATGGTATGGTTCTGAAACTCAATCGAACTAGAAATTCATTTCATTTCCATTCAAACAATATCTAACAGGAAAAAAAATAAAACAATCGTTTTCCCTATCTATTTATGAAATAGAATATCATTTAATAAATTAATGCCCTGTGTTATATAGCGTTAGTGTTGCAATCAAATCGTATTAAACTGTCAAACACCAAGCGGTCACCGGTGACCGCGACCTATTGTTCTTTAATTGTGCCGATAAAACCGGTACTCGACGAGTTAATTTTAAAGAAATATTCCCTTTTTTTCAAAAATAATTTTAATGTACCTTATTCTAAGTGAAATAGATTCAAAAAACTAAATGTAATGTAAGTAAAGGTATCTAAACGTGATCTCAGGATAGAATTGGAATGGAATGAAGTAGGAATGATGACTGAGCGAAACTATATCTTGGTCTAAATGAATTTCTCTGTTGAGTTGACGTCAGCTCAATTTGATTGTGTTGGAACGTAGGTACATATTGATGCTACTTGTATTTAGCTTTCTATTCTTTTTAGTATTTTTGGAAATAGTCATATAGGTACTCTAGACCACGAATATCTGTGTAATCATACAAAGAAGCCTATGAGAAAGAGTGGTAATTTCACAAGTTGGAACACATTCATCTTCATGATAATCATTATACCAGCAGCATTACGATCTGCACAGCTGAACATAGGCCTCTTTTAATAACTTTCAAATCTTCCATTGGATTACAACACCGTTGACATTCAAAAACGTTTGTAGCGAAAACTTTAAGTGAAAGATTTAAATGTGAGAGAGCCATGCTTCGGCACGAATGGGCCGGCTTGACCGGAGTGATACCACGGCCTCACAGAAAACCGACGTGAAACAATGCTTGCGTTGTGTTTCGTCTCCCCCTCCCTTTCCCAATCTCCCCAATCAGTGAATCCCCAACAATCCTAATTCCTAATCCTCAAAAGGCTGGTAATGCTTCTGGTGTTCTACGTGTGGTGCGCGATGGACGACACCGATTGCTTGCTATCAAGTGATACGTCTGCTCGTTTATCGGTTAAAAAAACGAAAATAATTACGTGAATATTCTATTAATAATATGAAATTAAAATTATTCGGAACATATTTTTATTTACTATCTGAATCAATTTGTATTTTGATCAGCAGTATCATTCAGCATTACATTACATTTTGAACCAGACTATTTGATATATTTACACGACATTATTAAACTGTAACGCTATGACAGTGTATGTAGTGAAAAATGCCACAATAGAGGGTAACATAGACATGTCCACGTCAAGGGTCCCAAAGACGTGAATACGGACGGGGCGTGTGCGTACGTAACGTAGTAAATCTTTGGCCAGCTTGTAGCACTCATCATCTGAAAATGAAAGGCAACTTTATTGTGCATTAATAAAAACAACATACATACATAAATAACCTCGGGAGACAGGCGTGCCTGTCTCCCATGATAGACAGAGACTATGGAAGGCCAATTGCTACGATTCCTACATACCTTTTTCGCTTCTTCAACAGTATTTCATGCATGATCGTCAGTTAAATTTAACCCTTCTACATTTCCCAATCATATCTCGTCTGTATCCTTCTTTTGTAAATTTGCTTTCATCCATCCTTTTTACAAACACTTTCGACAATCAATACAAAATATATAGAACACAAGAGCCGTTCTTTCTTGTCCATAAAAACATTACATCACATCGCTGATCGATCAAAATGGAAACTGTCGAAACTTTTACTTATTCGTTCCTCGTTCTTATCATGTGTTTTAAACGTGGAAGTCATTTTTATAATGGATTTTCATTATTAAGTTGTTGCACTAAAAAGTCAATATAAAACAACCCTTCCTATTGGTATTGAAGCAATGTAGGGTTAGTCATTATGTATGCTGTCTATGTGTTTATTAATGGCGATAATATCCATCAAATCACATTTTATGACCATCGAGCTAACTGTATGACTACCTGACACGCTACCCTTTGCTGTGCCTATGTTTTTCTATCAGATTTGTTTATTTAACTAATCGGATAAACTTGATCACTCCTTCGTTGATCAAGTTAATGGGACTTTGATTTTTTAATAAATACTTCTTGTATCAGGTGTCTGACATTTGCCTACCCTTTAGGTACCATTAACGCTTAATTGGTGATAACTGATTTGGACATAACTTTTATAACTTTTATTTTGAGGGGGGAAAATCATCCAATGTCTTCTCCCGCTCGGATGAGGCAAGAGGAATTGTCAGTCTTACTGACTAAAAACCACGCCGTTCCTACTTCTGCATTTCTAGCCGGAGCCCCAGCAACCCCTGAAGTCCTCCGCGGCTCGGTATCGGCATCAGCCCTATTGGGCCCCACCTGTGGTGGTCTGATGGCTTTTTGAGGCGCGCGCGGAACGTGACACGCCGTATGCTCGAGTCTGTTTCTGGTCGCGCGGCTACCCATGCTCGCCGTGCGCAAGCCCATACTTACGGTGGCCGGGAATCGTCTTGCGATTCACGCAGTTCCACTGACCTCTTGTCAGTGGATGTGGAATTATTTTATTCTATAGTTACTTTGTTCATATAATTATGTGACTTACTGTCTAGAGTGGAGACACAGAGTTCGCAGAGCTTCTGCCTGAGCTGCAAAGAGCTGTTCTGTACCTTCTGTCCGGCGCGAGATATCATAAACAGTGCAATCAGGAATATCACCATCGAGAAAAAGTGTGCAAACATTGATAAAGTCATTGTTTGGCTGCCCTAAGAAATGGAAAATATAATAAGGATTATAAGAATAACGAAGTTTATTTTTAGGTCACCTCTCTATTACACGTGCAATAGGATTGCATTTCGAGTGTGTGTCAAAAAAATTTTATTATTATTTTTTACTTACCTCAACGGATATTATCGTAATGCTATACATCAGTAATATGTAATATACGGTTACTATCAAAATCATTACAGTCAACTGAAAACAAATAAAAGAACAAAGTTAATGAATGTTCACATTCACAAAATTCTTATATTTTTAAAACGTAGTCTAGAAATGGTGCAGCAGTTCCTATTACTTGTAAAATGTACTGACAGTAAAACATTTATGTATATTTTATTCATAATACAGTAATACAATCTTCCTCTTACCTGTATGCTAAACATTGCGTTGCATAAATTCGAGGTGTCGTTAATATTTTCATACGCTTTCACCCATTTATTTATCTTGTCATGGCTGACGGTTACGCTCGACAAATCTCCCGCGAGCTCCACATTCTCTCGCATCTCTCTCGGAGGCGACAGCTCCCTGTCTATTGATCGCGTGATGGTCCTCAGTTGCTCACAAATCACGAACAAAATAGAATACAGTACAAAATATTCAAATAAATAACGGAAATCTGAGAAGTTGAAGTTGTAATTGTACAAAATTACTTTAATCATAATCTCCGTACTCCTCCGGTTACACAGTCGAACTGCTGTCGAGGTTACTATCTTTATCAAGCAAAACAAAATGATGGTAATCGTCATAATTTTTTGCGCTTTCATCAATTTATGGTTGTAAATTCTATCGTCGAAAATGTGATAGAATGCATCGAAGTTCAAAAGTAAACCGTAAAACTTTTTCGAGTAAAACACAGCTGCCACCATGACGTAAAGTGAGAAGCCGATGGATGTTAGGAAATAGATGCGTTGTGCCTTTATATGCATTTCATTTTCTAACGCGAAATTGATCATAGCATTGGTCAAAATAGAGAGGACTTCTAGAAAGAACCAAGCAAAGGCAAGAATACGCGCACATCTTGTTAAAAGCGAATAATTTCTGAACACACACGTAATATTTTCAATTAACAGAAGATATTTTAACGGCGTGAGGTTCAATGTCATGTCGTATTGGAAAAGTTGTTTGATTGACGAGCAGTACGTCTGTAGGCCGAGTCGAGACTGTTAGTAATCGAACGATTAGTGGTAATCCAATCAGACGTCTATTATTTGTTTTTAATCCACTTCGTTCAAGTGTTGTAAGTAATTATTTCATTAAAATGTCAGACTATTTCTAATTATATTATCTTTTATTGCTATAAAGTATAGTTAAACTGAAAATAACGATGATGAGGAAGCCACAATAATCGAGACATTGTTAATTATTTTAGCTGAGCTTGGTTGAGGGCTCATCAGCTGTAGGGTTGTGGTGCAAAATTAATAGCGGTCTGACATTTACACACCCCATTTTTGTCGTTGTAAAATATTTTCAAGCTTTCGTGACATTTTTGGAAATAGCAAATTGTAGGTTTCAAATTACCTTTGCGTTTTACAAATACAAGAAGTTATATTATAAAAACTTCAATTGTTTATTTAGGGCCGATTTTTCCAAGGTCAGATTAATTTTAACTGAAGAATAAATAACTTTGAACATTTGACAATTGGGCAGTTTCCTTAATCAAAAATAAATTATTTCGACTGAAGAAAATGTTAAAAAATAATCAAACTTTCATTAATTGATTTTATAAATAACTTCATTTTAGTATTTTCCCAGCAAATTTTTAAGAAATAAGTAAGTTGTTTGACGCTAAACAACGTGACGTCACAATACACAATCTCGTAGAAAATTCACAGAAAACTATCGTTTTTGACAGTTCGAAAAAATATTGAATTTGACTAGTTGGCAAGTACCTAATTATACCATAGTAAAAACTGTCAAATGTCAATTTTATTCTACAGTTAAGAATCAACTGATGATTGAAAAATCGGCCCTTAAGCTTTTAGTTGTAACGATATAGATAATTTGACAGCATCTTCATTACACGTGTAATGATAATATAAAAATTCGTTTTACTATCGGTTCCGAATTAAACAGCAACCTATCAAAAATGTTATTTTAAATGTTATGCTTAGAGTGTTTCATCCTGGCATAATTATTAAAGTTTACAGTATATACTCTTTATTACTTAAAGATAATATTTTACCATAACTAGTATCCATGGTAAATGATCCATAAGCTGTTGCCTTGTACCGCTACAGCGCTGACGCAGCGCTGTCCCGGCTGTTTGCACAGCACTGCACTGGCTGTCATGCGGTAATGGATATTGAAGTGTTCGGCCAAGCTGGCTTTTTGTTACTCATAAAAAAATAGAGGCGAATCGTCAACTAATGGGAGTTTTATTCACAGTTTACGTTTGGTCTGTTCTTGAGATTGTTTTGTTAAAGTCGTGGTGGCCCGGAGGTTTAAGACGCCCACTTCTCATGCATGAGAGTGCGCGTTCTAAACCTACCAAGTACCAATGTGACTTTCTCCGAGTTATATGTACTTTCTAACAATATCTAGACACCACTGACAAACGGTGACTGAAAATATTGTGAGGAAACCTGAGCTTATAATTTCAAATTATAAGTTTGTAATCGCCAACCCCCATTAAGCAAGCGTGGTGATTAATGCTCAAACCTTCTCCGGGTGAGAAGAGGCTTTGCTTAGCAGTGGGCATTTATAGGCTGTTGATGATGATGATGATGATGATGAGATTGTATCTGAGATAAATTAATTAGGTATTTATTTAAGTAACCTTATTTTGGGGGGGGGGATCATCCAATGAATTCTCCCGCCCGGGTGAGGCGAGAGGGAGTGTCAAACTCTTACTGAATAAAACAATTTATTAATTTGAAATATCGTGTGACGTCACATTTTATAGCACATTATGACGTAACAACCTTCCACTCCTAAACTTAGCGCCATTTTATCTAAGTATTGCAACTTAAAACGAGAAATTTTCATTATCTAACTGACGGACTAATTAGATTTTTAATTTTGGTACCCTGGAAATCACCCAATTCGTCCTTTTTAACCGGTACCGTACCTAATTTAAGGTATATTACTTTTTAAACGTGGAATATGGGACTAGAAGAAGAGTTTCATCTTGAAGTCATATTATTATATTCAAACGTTGATATGAAATTGCGTTCTGAAGTCTAGAAACATATTACTCAAGTAGACTAAGCTAGCGAAGTTTCACGTCGAGCTAGATACAGTTCCAAACAATTTAATAGTGCCTAGCTATTTCTTTTTATTATTAATCTACATTTCATTTAAGGCTTTAAATGAAAGTTGTACCTATTAATTCTTAACACGTTAAACGCCATGGCAGTCACCGGTGACCGACATTAGCGGAGGATTTGCTTTCATCAGTTTTTTATTGGCAGCCAAAGCCTTAAAGGCTTTAATATATATTTTTTTTTAAATTACAAAAATAAGTATAGTACGAAATAGTCTCAATTTATTCTTGACATGTTGTATTGTTTGAGTTATTTATTGGTTGAAGAATAGAATAGAATGACCTTTATTGTACACCATTAACAATATAGTACATACAGAAAAGGAAATGACAAACATAAATAAAAATAATAATGGGCACAAAGGCGGTCTTATCACTTATAGTGATTTCTACCAGACAACCTTTGGGTGGATACAATGAAAATTAAATATTTAGACGGACCAAGACTAAGTACACTTTCATTCACTTTTTAGTAACGATATCACTTAAATTCCTGGTAATAGGGAGTGAGCTTGCCGACTAACATTTAGAGTATTTTAACGGTCTATGTTATGCTAATACTACTCTAGAATTTTCAAAATTAAAGAACTTAGCCCCACACTAAGATTTTCTCCCGTGTCGTGGGTGTGTTTACAAACATACAATTTCACCTACACGTGACACCCAGACCTGAAACAACAATTTGCTGATCACATAAAGAGCTTCTCTGTGTAGGAATCCAACCCGCTACACGCAACAACCATGCAGTCATATATGAATCAATAGGGTAGATGCCTAATTCTTATTTTAATGTCCGTCTAAAAGATTATTTTAAATCATTACACATGTATTTTTTATTTCCTTACAGAAACGAATACTTTCGACGATATATTGATTTGAAATGTCGCGTGACGTCACTTCAATGTACATACATTTTATACGTAGAAATTACGTTTTAGCCCCCACTCCTAAAATTTGATTCGTTTTATCTAAGTATTGTTTTATTATGCGACAAAATAAAAAAAATACGTGTCTAATATATTTTTCATTACCTAACTTACGGACTAATTAGATTTTTAATTTTCATACCCTGTCATCATCCCAATTCTGGCATCAATTGCTCGGCAGTTTCTTTAATAAGTGTTCCATTGAAACAAAAATTATAATATAAAATTTCTTTGAGATGTAAAAATAAAAGTTACAATGAAAAAATCTGTTATCTCAGGCACAATTTATCTCAGTAGCAATAGAAGATAAGTGCAGGTTTATAGTGCAGCGAGAAGTAATGTGCAGCGGAGATGAGTGCGATATTAGTGCAATTACACACGCGAGCACGCTCGACGACACTGCTGAGTATAGTCGACACATTTGTATCGTGACCTACTTTTACAATAAGTCGTTTAGAATAGTTATAGTTTTGTGTTAATTGTGTGTAAGAAGTCACTTTGTATTTTTATTAAAATAAATGCAATATAATACACAGGTGATCGAAAGGCTGGCTACTTACCTTGGACAAAAGTTAAGCATTGCCATTCAACGTGGCAATGCTGCCAGTCTTTTGGGCACCCTACCTCACGATAGCGACGAGGAAAATTTTTTTTGATGCCTTAATTTTTTTTTGCATTTTTGTTTTTTATTTTTTTTTTATTGTAAATATTTTATTTCATAGCTATTTATATTTTAAGTTGTATATATTTTCATTTAGTAATAGTTAATAATTATTTTTATTTAAATAAATAAAAATGTGTGGAAAAAATAAATAAATACATGATAAAAATTAGTGAAAAAAGTGATTAAAGTCGTTACCATAGAAATTCAAAATTTTATATCGACCTAATACAAGGATTTTTTGAGATTTGATGAAGTGGCGATTTGTCATTTGACGCTATCTTCCATCAGAAGGTTCAGTAGCCATCTTCCATAGAACTTTAATATACGATAGAAAATATGTTCATGGTTGGTCATAATTCAGTTTTGTCGGTTGTACACTCGCGTTCATGTAGAGTGAACATGACTGTATTAATTAATTTGACACCGAGTTCATGCTAACACGTGTTACATTTTGTGCTTGTAAACTTGAACGAAGATGTTACATGAACCTTCAATGTAGGAAAGTGATGGCAACAATGTTCCTATATTCAGTTTAATAACCTAATTTATAAATAAAAAAAAAGTAGAAATTTTTGTTTCATGTATTATGGTGGTATATGTCGCCGAGTTTAAAAATTGAAACTATTTAACAAAGTCAATTTCATTTTTTATTTAAACATTGTATTGAAAGATGTATCACATTTGCATGGACAGATGATATCACATCAGACTATACCTCTACTTTCCACTATAATCTGACCTGGCTAACAATCAAATAGCGTATATAAGACGAGTGCATGAAATTCTGGCACATTATATTATAGTCTGTGCTTTAAGGTGCCATTAGTTTAGTAGGCAGCGGTGTGAGTGGTGCGCCACAACGCCTCGCGTCACGCTCAGTGTACCGTGCTGCACTGGTGTGCACAGACCCTAATAAATTGTGTGCTGCACACAAATTGTTATCATTCTTCTACGTACGGGCTTATTATGACATTCCATTTACAGTCGAATGTCTATGATGATTAAGTCGATTTTTTATTAATATTATTATCCAGTTTTCTATTGACCAGATTAGTTACTCAAAACAAAATTTGGTATTAATTTACTTGCCATTTTAAAACAAATGATATTTCTGAAAGTATTAGTATAAAAAAAATGTTTATTGATATATCGACCACAAATTAAAACTAAATTCACTTAAATCTAATCAGTAGCTTTTTATTTATTGATGTTTTTGTAGTTAGATCGGGACTTATTCACCAAAACCGAAAGTTTCATATATCTCAGAAAATAGCGACTTTCAGACCAGGGACCTCAGGGCTAATTTTGTAGGAAATTAGTTGTATTATCACCTCCTGAGAGGAATACGTCGAGTTACAAGTCACCCTGTATAAGTTACAGTATAAGTTACA